ACATGATCTTCACAACTCACCAACTGCATGAAAAATGACAGGAACAACACATACCTCTTTATATAGCCTTCTCTGACCTCACAATAGTCTTTGACTGTCAACTGAGAAAAGCTGTGGAAGACTGTTTTGAGGTACAAATGCCCACCAAAATTCATCACCATTCTTTGCCTATTCCATGACAGAATGCGACCAGTGGTCCTCAGTAACAGATCTATCACAGACGCCTTTGAGGTTAAGATGGGAGTTAAGCAAGCCTGCACCATCGCTCCAACACTCTTCTCGATATTCCTTCCCACGATGCTACATCTGACCACCAACAAGCTTCCAGTCAGAGTGGAGTTAAACTACTGAATGGATTGCTAAACTGTTTAATCTCAGGCAGTTCTGAGCCAAAATCAAAACCACCCCAACCTCAATCATCGAGCTCCAGTATGCTGATGATGTTGTTGTCTGTGCTCACTCAGAAGTAGACCTTCAGGCAATCACCAACATCTTTACCAAGACGTACAAGAAAATGGAATTGTTGCTTAACATTTAGAAGACTAAGGTCCTCTCATCAACAAGCTCTTAATGAGCTGTCCCCAGCTCTGGTAATTCAGATTCACAGTGAAACTCTGGAGAGTGTTGAGTATTTCCTGTACCGTGGAAGCCATCTCTCGCAGAAGGCTGATATTGACGAAGAAATCCAACATCACCTCAAATGTGCAAGTGCTGCCTTCAGATGCCGGAGGAAATGGGTGTTTGAAGATCATGACATCCGATCCAATACCAAGCTCATGGTTTATCAGACAGTTGTGATCCCCATCTAACTGTATGAACCTGAGACGTGGACACCGTAGGAGGCACTTCAAGTCACTTGGAGAAGTACCATCAACACTGCCTATGGAAGATCCTTTGAAACCAGCGGGAAGATAGATGTGTCAACATTAGCGTCCTCTTGTAAACAAATGCCACAAGCACTGAGACAATGATCATCCAACATCAACTTTGCTGGGCCAGCCATATCATTCACATGTCCAACTCCAGACTCCCAAAGCAAGTTTTATTCTCCCAGCTCAGTCAAGGCGTACGCTCAAGAGGAGGGCAGAGAAAGCACTTGAAGGACATCCTTGAGGCCAACTTGAAAAAAAGCATTATAAACATCGTGGCAGAATGCCCTCCCAGCATCTCCCCAGACCCTTTTATTAGGTTTTTCCTTGCTATTGTTTTCATACCTGTCTATCACTCCAATTGCTAAGCAACCAGCTCTGCGTACAGGACCTGGGCAGGTAAATTCCTGAGGGAGGGGGAACCTGCTCCATTGTTCAGTTTACTGCCTCTGCAGGTCGTGTGACTAGTTCTCTCACCTGTCTGTCAACCTGGTTGCCTGAGTTACCCTAGCCCCTATTGTTTGGGCACTTACCTCCTGGCAAGGGGGCAGGGGCCCACACCATCAGGTGACCAGTATTGCTTTTTAAACTGATTGGTCGGCATCAGAAACACCTGCCTGACTGGACCTGGAAGGTGAGGTCACTTGAAAGCACCAGGCATCAGCCAATGGGGCTGCTTCTGGTGGGAACTTAGTGATGAGGTCACGACAGGGATATATAGGGTCCCTTCTTCTTGGAAGGGGAGAGCCATTTTGGGAAACCATGGAATAAGTTCATGGCTTCTGGGGCTCTGCTGGGCTCCAGATGAGCAGAGAGACCCATTTTGGACAGCATGGGAGCAACTGACCAGACACAGAGAGGGAGATCTCTCCCTCTCTCCCTTGAAACTGGACACACATTGAACTACCGGCCTCCAGAGGAAAGCTCAACCAGCCTCTGCATAATACTTGTGGGTAAGCTACTTGAAACCTATCTAGATATATAGCTTGCAGTACAGCAACTGCGTGATCAATGGCTACCTAGCCAGTTTGCTCTAAGGTTATTCTGTGATACCTCTCTATCTTGTACCCTACCTCAAACCTGCTCCCTGTAATCAATAAAGTTCTCCATCGTTCTAAGTATGGTGAACTGGGTAGGAAAGGGATAAGAGGCATGCCTTCATGTCCCCTTGGACTGGCTGACTAAGGGAGGCCACTATTTGTACTCCAGGCCAAGGGAAGCACCCCAAGTTCTTGCAGTGGGTCAAGCACCCTCAAGGTCTACAAGGTCTGCGTACTCCAGGGGGCACAAGGCTGCAGACAGACCGAGACTCCTGGGTGGTAGCAGCGGTGAGCCCAGGCTTGCAGGTGTGCTCCAGGAAGGGGGTTGGCCAGACATGAGAGACCCTTGGGGAGGCACTTGGAACTTGGCAGGTGGTCGGGAGCAGTGAGGTGGGCGGCTCAGCCACAAACATCAACTCATGGGAGATTACTGCCCAAGACCACCCCAAAATGGAGGAGTCGTCTACTGCAAGGATCTTAGTACTTTTAAACCTTATGACAACAGGAGATGGAAAAGCAGGAGCAGCAGAAATAGTATGCTGCAGACCGAGTCAAGAATCAAAAGCTACCCACTCCACATGGAAACATGTGCCTGAGTTGCAACAGAGTCTGTTGATCCCAGATTGGCCTTGTCAGCTATCTTCAGACCCACAGATAAGACAATTGTGGAAGACAATCATCCTTGACTGTGGGAGATTGCCAAAAAAGATACCAGAGATGCCAGAGTGGTGAGTCACAAACAGTAGTATTCCAGGTCTACAAACCTACCTTCCCCACACATTCCTTCCCTCTCTATATTCCCACACACAAATTGGGAAGTCAGGACGGCTTCTTGCCTTTCCATCCCCTGCTATAAATGTTCTGTTAAAATACAAGGAAATTCTCAAACGAATTCCCAACTCCACTTGGGATTGATGAAATACAGCACCCTCCCAAAGCAGAATATTAAAGATAGAGAAATAGCCATATTGGAGGACATCTCTTAACATTCAAGCAACTTTCTTCCATTGACAGTGAGGGGTTTTATAGAAGCTGACTAAAACCTTTCATCTCAGGGCATCATACCAACACCAATATGAATCATCAACAGAACTGGATAATTAGATCCACCATGTGAATCTCTGCCACCTAGGCAAAGAATGACTGGCAGCATGGCAGGATGCAGAGGCAGGGGCAGGCAATTATTTCAGGCGGGGGGACGCTTACCGAGTTTTGGCAAGCTGTCAAGGGCCACGTGGGTAGCCCCACCTCTTGATGGCCCCTGGTTGCCATCTTGGGGCCAGAAGTCCCATCCCTAACCTCTGATCTTTGCCACCGGGAGCCCCTCCCATTGCCCCGGAAGTACTCTTTTGCGGAAGAGGGTTTGCCATCTTAGGGGGAAAACTAAGGCAGGGGCTTCTAGCTGGCGGGTGGGGCCTGGCGGGCCTTGCTACTGCAGGAGCCTGCCATGGCTTTCCCTGGGTCCTACTGCCCCTGGTTCCTGTCATCTTTGATAGGCAGCCAGGGGCAGATAAATATCAATTTTATAATTTTTTTAGGGAGTCCATGGGCTGGATAGAATGGCCTGGTGGGCCGGATCCAGCCCACGTGCCATATTTTGCTCACCCCTGATGTAGAGGCTACGTAGACCAGCATTAGAAGAGAAGACAACACACTTTACCAGAGAACAGAGTAGGATAGGAATAGCAGAACTCAGGAATTGTGAGTTCATTTGAGACTTGAGAGTGCCACAGGCCCTCCTACCTCATCCAATCCCCCAGTCCTTTGTGATCAGATGACCAAAAAGTGAGGCTGGAAGTGTCTGGACAAGAAGATTTGGAGCCATCTGTCAAGTGGATGGGATATAACACTGAGCATGGACTAGGAGATAGGAGAGACCAGAATGTCTGGTCACAGTAAGTGTGACCTAGTGTGGGAAGAATGAGTACAGGGGAACAGATGTGATGAGAAGCCAGGACCTTGGCAGAAAACTGAAACAAAAGCAAAGGCGAGTGAAGGCTGGGACAAGAAGCTGGGAAGTGGGAAACAGTGTAAGGCCTCTGCACTGCAGAAGGCAACCAGGTCAGTAACAATCAACCCCCTGAACAGGAGCAGCTGAGCCTGAACCTGCCGACTAGTTCCCAGGCTACTCTTAAGGAGGTCTTGCAGCAGCTGGCACCCGGTGTCTGCCTGGGGCCTCAACCTGCAAGTGGTTCTCATTCATGTGACTTCCCTGGTGCCTGTTCCTGCATTCTTGCCTGTGCACCCAGTCCCTGAACTTGAAGAACCCAGTTTGACCTTGGCTTGCTTCCCAACATCCGCTTCTGGTAATCCTCTGGCTTGGCACATGAACCCCAGTTTGATCTCAGCTCATCTCCTGACATATGCTTCTGGTATCCCCCTGGCTCAGCAAGTGAACCCTGGTTTCACCTCAGATGACTCCCTGACCTCTGCTCCTGGTAAACTGTCTGGTGTGGCATTTGAACCCTGGGCTGACCTTAGCTTGCCCCCCAACTACGGATGCTGGTAACAACCTCTGGCTACAGCCACTAGGCCTCACGCCTCCGTGTATCCCAACACAGAGGCACCAGGATCTGAGTAGGAGTCAGGGTGGAAGGAAGAGTGCTCCATAATCCATTTTCTAAATATCTCAGAGAATAATAACTACCTGTCTTGCAACTGCAGAGATTAAAAATTATGGGATGGAAAGAAAGCAGCCAATTATTCAAGACCAGGAAGGCCTATTGGTTACCAAGTATTCAACAGATGGATTTATTTAAAGAAAGCTAGTTCATAGAGTCTTCTTGCTTATACATATCTCCTTCTAAAAACCTTAAATTAATAAAGAAAGTTGACTCAGTTATCTGAATTTTGAATGATAAGCATTTTCCCAAAACACAGAATTAGGACTAACCATTTAAAAAAGAAAGAGTTAACTCATAGCATAAATTCTATTTTTAACCCAAAGGTATCTTAAAAATGGTAAGCATTTTACAGCAATGAATAAACAAATATATTAGTGACATACAACTAACACTTAAAATAAAGAACTATACTATATTTGTAACAGTTCTTAGTGTACTGATCAACATATCTAGAGGAAGTTTCTTACCAGCAGCTGGTAGGTCTAACTTTGCTCGTTTCAGTTCTGACATCGAATTTTGAAGCTGCTCTATTACAACGTCATCTTCACAGAAGAAGTCCTTGGCTAGAGTGTCCTGAAGAAATTCTACAAGTTCTTCCATTTGTAATTTCATCAGATGTTCTAGACCATAACAAAATATTATGATGAACAAAAAACTGTTTTATGATATCATTCAAATTTAAGTAAAGACCACTAGAAAGGTGATTTTTTTTTTAGTTTCAAAACTGAAACATTTCTACAAATGACAAAGAACCCAGGGATGATGGAACATTTTCAAAGCACACTAAAAATGCATGTACTCATCACCCCTATAAATGTTTTCTTATTTTTACAGTAACTGCCTCCCCAGCATGTCTCCCCCAAATTTGAAAGGTGATATCTCTTCAGAAAACTGAAAGCAATAGTACCATCCTTCAGTCTCCCTGTTTTTATGTTACAGATCTACAATTTTTCATCTGCATTTATATATTTTCCAGCTCCTGTCCTTCACCTGGAACATGAAGATATAGGTCTTCATAACCTACCTCTCAGAAGAGAAATTAAGCTGTTTAAAAATGTGACACATAGGCTACTGTCATTCATAACTGAGATAACATTCACAGGAAAGAAAGCAACAGTTTACAAGGATTGCTAGATTCCTTTTTTAATTTTTATTATTACTTTGTTAAGAACATGGAAAAAGTTTTCATTAACCTCATTCTTGGAAAAAACAGAACTGTTTATGACTAACATTTTCCAAAGAATTCAGCCTGAAAAGCATCCCAACATGGAAAATTTCAGTCAAAATTATTACAGCTTGGAGCCAATAAAAAGGAATAGAACACAGATTTTTGTAACAAAAAGTGTCAGGCAACTTTAATAATTGACAGTACTACCAGTACTCCCCATAGAAACGTTAAGGAAGAAATACTGTTAATATTGATGAACTGAGGTTTAGGGGGCATGAATACGGATATGGAATCACAGGGACCAACCTTATAATAATCAAGGCCCAATGTACCAACAGTGACTGGTGTCACACTTCAGAAGGCAGACAAGGTTCTTTGGGGTGAATATGATATCTTTTATTAGACCAACTTAAATAGTTGGGGGGAAACATTTTGAAAAAAATGTTTCCCCCCAACTATTTAAATTGGTCTAATAAAAGATATCAGATTCACCCAAAGAACCTTGTCTGCCTATGTCCTTAGACCAACATGGCTACAACCTACACCCCTATAACAATCCAGAAGGTGAGGTGATGAACAATTACAGCATAATTGGCCCATAAGAGAAATTTCTTAGAGACCCTTGGCAGTTAAAAGTAGATTAAGTAACAAACCACCAAGGTCTATGTACCTACAGAAGCTGGGAATATATGATTTTGGGGGTGGGGTCTAAAAGAAAAAGCAACAGTCCTAACAATTGTGTTCCTGAAAAATGGCAAGATGCTTTTTCAGGCATTTTACCTCCCTTTCAACCGTAACAAAACCTGAGAATCCTTCAATATTATACAATCAGGGTCTACACAGGAATGGTGGGGAAAGGGGGAGAAGGGACTGAAAATACTGTTAATATGAATTGTTGGTAAGAGGGGAAAAGCTTTTTGGGAGATGGAACGAGGAAGGGATCCAAGTAGTGTAATGAAGCTTAAAAATGTAGTTAAATAACATATAAAATTAATGAACCATATCGTAATAACATTAGGCCACTAGGCGGCGTGCACAATAGGTACTGGTATACTTCTCTGGTGGCTGAAGATGCATGTCATGGCTTTGCTGTTGTCCCTCTGTTCCCCAACAGCACATTTATGCAGCCCCTGTTGCGGCTAAGTGCCATATTAACCTACAGTGAGAAACTGGATGCTATGAGGAAACTATCATATCGGTTTGCTCAGGTGGAAATCAGTTTTATAACTGAATTTCTCTGAAAACTACATGTCATACAATTGTTTTCCACTGCTTACAGAAAGCGGAGATATTGATTTCTTTTAAAATACAACCAGAACAGGGCAGTTGCATGCAAAGCCTGCCTGCTGTACCACTTTACATGCAGTAAGTGACACTGAGGATGCATCTAAACTGCAGACAAAGAACTGTTTACATAGCAGAATAATGCAGGCATCCAAGCTAGCTCTAAAGCAGCTAAGTCATGTACCAGTAACAATCAAGATGGATCAACAGAATACAACAGACACATTTATCTTGTGTCTTTGGCCCTGTTAAGCCACTGTGAACATATTTACGTTACACTGTAGTTACCGAATCTACACGTGAAGACTCAGAGTTAAAAGGAAAATTACAAAGAAAATGGTTTCATGGCTGACACAGGGAAAGACCAGCCTAAAATGCGGATGCTCCTCCAAAAACTAAAAATCAGGTATAAGGGGTGTGTACCCTGCCATTAGAGGCATGATTACAGCATTGGCAGGCAAACCTGTATTGTGATGGTGGCACACACGTCACTGGTACTTCATCTAGCTAATACAGGTAACATCTACAGTGAAGATGTGATGGCACAGACCTAAGCATGCACAAGTCCACTGCAAGTGCTTCTGAAAGAATGTAACTAGGAAAAGCAAAGAACACAAAGGGTTCAACTTGAACAAATTAGCCCCTTCATAATCTGTCAGACCACTGTATTTCAGTTATCCAAACCATGAAACTACAGTGCTCCTTTCCTACCATTTCTAGAGGCCAGATTATTTATTAACACCGTTTAAATATTATTACTACTATTCAAATATATGGAGAGTAATTTAGTCTGTTGAACAAGGTGCTGGCTCGCTTGTAAATCACTTAAGTTTTTCTGGAGGAACTGCCGAATACATAAAAGTAATTCGCTTTTAAGTTGTGCCATGCAGCTGGAAACACTCATCACCATATCCTCATAGAACCATGATTTCAACAACAGACAGATAGCATGATCTACAACAGAGTCGGGCAAAATTAGAGGTGCACCAATACATTAGTCCCATATCGGATCAGCACCAATAAAAGAAAAATTGACTGTATCAGCAATCAGCTTTTTTCAGCTGATTAATAAATGCCATGTGCATGTGTAAATGCCATGTGCATGTGTGCAGAACACAGGTGGCCAGGAGCACAGCCCAGCAGCGTGGAGAGCAGCTGGGGCCAGCTGGTAAGCCTGTTGTGGGGAAAGAGGCATGGGGGGGCCAGGGGCCAGATTGAGGTGCCAGTAGTGAGGGAGGGAGTGGGGCTGGGGCAGAGGCAGATGCTGCCCAGCCTGGAGAGGGCATGGGACTGAGCTGCACACAGGGAGAAGGGGAAGCTCCCGCCACTGCGCACACCCCTGGGGGAGGGATGGGGACCATGTGCCCCCAAATCTCCACGTGGGGCAAGGGCAGGCTGCCACTGTGGGCTGGGGCCCCCAGATGAGCCTCTCATGGCTGTCCCATGCCATGCCCTGCCAGTTGGGCAACACCTGCTCCTGCCGTCCCTGCCCCAGCCCCACTCCCTCTCTCCCTGCAGCAGCTCCCAGAGCCCCGGGAGGATTCCAGGCCCCGGAGAATACTCCCGTCCCTCTAACCCCAGCCAATCATCTGACTGGCAGGGAGAGGGCATCCTCCCACAGTGGGAACCTTCCTGGGGCTCCAAGAGAAGGCATCTGCCAAGGTGCACCAGTCCCCTGCCTATACACCCCCCTTGGGGTCATCCAGGAAGTGTGCATGGGGTGGGAGGCAGAGGCAGCACAGCTATAGATCCATCCCACAGAGGGACAAGTCCAGCTCCAGTAAATGCTCTCTGCCAATCCCCAGGTCTGGGCAGAGAAGGGAGGCAGATGACTGAGGCTTGAACCCCAGGTTCTAGCCTGGGAGAATGCTCCCACCCCCTTGTACCCACAGCAGGTCCTCACAGGTTTCCCTGGGTCTGTTCAGCAACTGGGGGGCCTTAGCTCCGACAGTAGGTCCCCACAGGTCTTCCAAATAGCCTGCCGAGGGCTGAGCTATCAGCCGACCAACGCTCTCCTTCCCTCAGTTCTCCTTGGAGGGAGGGAGGGAGGAAGAGCAGAGGACTGTGGGATACTGGGTGTCCTCATTACCTGAGATAATTATACAGCTGTTCAAGCTGGGGATGGTCCTGCTTTGAGCAGGGGGTTGGACTAGATGACCTCCTGGGGTCATGCAACACCTATCCGTGTCCTTAACAGATCACAAGGCTCTCCAAAGCAAACAGTGCAGTTATATATGCTAAGACTATGCCGTCACCAAGAAGAGTTCAAAATGGAAGCAAAATGTGTCAAATTACTTACAAATATATTAAGACAAATATTTTCTAAAACAACACCTAAAACCCTGACAAATTGCTATTTAGCATTTAAATGATGAGAGATCTTACTCTTGTGCAGTTTCAGAATTGTGTAAGACATAGCAGTAAGCACACGCTCTCCTTCCAGTATGTAGATATCCCATATCCTGAGGTTTAATGTAAAAGGAGTCTGTAATGACAAAATCAGACAGAAAAGTCAGAACAGTGTGCCCCAACTTAAGACTAAAAATGGGAATATAAGGTACGAAGATACTCACGCGATCAAGGAAACACTGAAAAAACCACTTAGTTGTGTAGAAGCTTGTGGAGATCTCTTGGGCGTCCTGTCAAAAGCAAGTGTTTATGAATACTCACGTAAGATTAAAACAACAAATTTCCTGGAACATATAAAGGTCATTTTGCTTACTCCTTAACTGAATTTTGCTACTACTGCTGTCCAGGCCAGTATTTGGCCATCTTCAAATTAAATTATTCTACTTTCTTTTAACAATGTTACTTCAATCTAAAATATGCTTTCACTCGCTTATAATTTTTCTTTATCTGCTAGATCTTGGGAGATGTCCTCAAATGTGCATGTTCAGTTTCACTTCAGAGCAGGTCCAGAATAATGCAAAAACTTTCCACAATGAAACACAATAATACATTCTGGAGGAGCCAGAGATCAGTCTCCAGGACAATTTAATCTTTCATTTCTCTGCTGACAAGGGTTGCCAACAAATGTTGTAATGACTTTCTGACATGGACACCTATTCACCAGGAAGAAGCTTAAGTCTATCAATTAATTTCACACAGGAACTCAAGAAGCAATTAGAAGAATGAATTTCACTTTATAGTAATAGGGGTCCATTGGAACTGGGTACATAAAAAATGAAAGGTGCACTATATTCCAACAGCCATACACCTCTCAAGTCATAATGAACGCCATTTGTATCTACATATAGGAACACAGATAAATAGGAAAAAATTGCTATGAAGATATAATGCTTTTATCAGTGCCCACTATTAGAAGCTGGAGGCAGAGAAACTTGACAAAATTACACTTTTCTCTAACTGTAGTATCATTGCCATTCCTGCCACTTCCTTTTCTCTAGTCTACAATATTGAGTCTTGGGAGACCAAGCTGTGCAACATGGTGATAACCAATCAAGTAAGTACTACTGAAACCATGACTCGGGGATAGAATAATTCTAAACTAATTTTCCCCAAAATTTTCATTTTGCTTCTTCACAAGTCTCAGAAACTAAGTACCAAGTTAACAAGGGTGCGACAGTACAGAAGTTGAAAATCGTCTGGTATACTGTAGCAAGGCCATCGCCAGGGGAAGCCATGAAGCCCCTGGAGTCCCTTTTTTGCCCTTAGCCACTTGCCCTCTGGGCAGTTACCCCTTTGTCTCACCTGCCAAGCCTTGATGTTTATTGGTATTTATACAAGGGAAGCTGCCCCAGGGCTTTCCAAGCCGCGCTCTCTCTCTAGTCTAATGACCACCAGGTGCCTGTGGTCATGGCCTTAAGGGCTAAGTGCGCGGCTCCATTCCATCCCTACACCATGCCCCAAGCCTTGCAGGTGTTATCACCAGGGATCCTGGCTTTCTGTTTAAAAATCACAGATTCTCTGATAAAAATCCAAAATTCTCTGATTAAAAACCTCTAAAATCTGCATTTTTCTGTGATTATAATGAAACGCTACTATAGTTATCAGTTGAACACAATGTTTTACTGATATAGTTACAATTTAAGAGCAATTTGGAAGGCTACCAGTGCCTCCTCAATCATTATAATAAATTATAAGTACCTATATACTTTGTCATTTGATTTTGGTTTATTATAGAAAATCAGGGCTCCCCCTTTCCCCAGCAGGATGCAGGTCCAGCTGTAACTGTTGTCGTCGTCCCCACCCCCTTGTGGTGCTAAGCAGCTCTGGTCTGGCAGTGCCCCCAACTCCCAACCTGCAGCCCCCTGGACCTGCTGGTGCCACCACTCCCAACCCGCAGCCACCCATCCCCATGAGTGGCCCTCACACCCTCAGCCCTCCACCTCCTCCAGCCCTGCTGGTGCCCCTCACTCCCAACCCACTTCCCCCTACCTCCAGCGTGTGGAGCCAGGGAAGGGGGTGAAGAAAGGGGGGAACATCATATTCTTGCCATATGCTCAACCATAGGCAACACCATAGGTGACACATCATGGGGGTGGGAGAGAAATGGGGAATGTGCCTCCCCAGATTTGTGTGCCCACACTGGGGCACAGAGCTGCAGCTTGGCCAGACCAGCAAGCAGCAGCAGGAGGTGAGAGCACTCCTCCCCAACGCTCTAATCCATTACTCGTCACGCTGCTGGTGGTACGGCATTAGTCCATGGCAGCGTGGCTGTCGTGGGGGTCCTGGTGCTGGCAGCAGCAGTGAGCCTCGCCACCCCATTCTGCCCGCTGGGCACCAGGACCGGCCCACTGGGGAAGCTGGCCTCCTTGCCAGCCCCTTCCTCTCCCTAGATGAATCACCTGTGGCTCTGTCCCACTCCCCAGTCAGGCTCCACAGCCACATATTCCTGCCCTGGGCGCTGCCCCAGCCGCTAAACCTGCCCCACTCCCTACCCTACCATGAGGACTTGCCGCAAGTTGCCGCTGACACCGCAATAAGCTCCTCACCCGCACAGACTTTCCTGCAGGCAGTTGTGGGAGCTGCTCTCCACCATGCTGCTTTGCTGTACTGCTGGCCACATGCATGTGTGCACACACCCCCTGCATCCAATCAGCCTCCTCCCACTCCCCACAGCCCCAAGCAGCCCCTTGAAGGCTGGGACTCTAGCAGCCCGCAAGAGGAAACCTACAGTTTCCTGTGTTTTTCTCCTTTAAAGAGAAAATCCGTGTTTTTCCACAGCAGACAGAAAACCTAGATCCATGGTTATCACTAACTGATGTCCTTTCTCTCCACACTCAGCCCCTTCTGGGCTATGGGCCCCTGGCCCCTTTCCCCAGGCTTATCGCCTCCAAAGCCTGCTTCCACTTGGAGCCTCTCTGGTCCCCTCAGGCCTATGGCTTCCAAGGCCTTGCCTCCTCCATGCCCATCTATTCCAGATCCATCCATGCCAAGGTCCTTCTTCTCCCTGGCTTGCCCTGCTCCCAGGCTCAGGCCTGCCCCATTCCCAGGCTCTATCTTGCTTACGCTCCACAGCTCTGACACAGCCCTCCTGCCAGGAACCCGCTTCCCGCAGCAGTCAGGGCTAAACTGCCTGACCAGCTCTGGGTTTGGGTTTACCTCCTGGTTAATCAGCTCTGTGCCACACCTGCCAGCTGGTTTCCAGGCTGCCCTTCCTCCCATAGTGGCAGGCTTACCAAGTAACCCGTCCCATAATTAGTCTCCTGCCACACCTGCAGGGTGCTTTCCAGGCAGCCTCTCCTCAAAGTGACATAATCACCATGCAATCTGTCACACACATCTACAGATTTTGCCATTCTGCCCCAGGCCACTGTCACTGTACTAGTTAATCCTGGGCCAATGCACACTAGTGTATAAGAAACATCAGTTTCATGCAACCAGCATTGTAGCTGATTGCTCATTTTAAGATAATGCATTGTATATACAACCACATTTTATAAGAGGTAGAGCACTGGAAATTTAAAACTATGCACACTCTTCTCTGGATTCAAGCCTGTAACCCTGTGACAGAACAGTTAAACTCATTGGCTTTTGCTCTATTACATATTATTTTAATATTTTCATCCATCTTTATAATGGTTCTAGTTTTTATTGTAAGCTGCACTGAGGCTCTTTTGGGGATGGTGACCTATACAATCCAATGGCAAAATAAATAAATAAACAGAAGTAGTGTGAGACCGACAGGAATAACAGCAGGTTAATTTTATACCCATTTTCAGATTATGTGATAGATGAAACTTTGTAACTCATAACTTCTATTTGAAGATACTTACTTGTAGGTACTACAAGTAATGTGTAGTATATCCATAGTGAGTAATCATGAAAATTAACTTCTAATACATCACACCTGAAGCAGTTTTAAAAGAAATGGGTTTTGTTCAGGGATTTCCTAGTATAACAGATTAATCAACCATCTAGTAAATCAAGTACAGCAGGACAGATTCTCAGCTGCTGTAACCTGATGTAGAGCCATTCAAATCAAAGGCACTATGCTTGTTTTTCCAAAGAGGCATCTCTCCTGACGCACAATTAAAAAAACTCCTTTGTCAAGATTTCAACTAATCCCGTGTCGAACCGGCCAGAAACTCCATCAGGAAGCGATTGCTCTTTAGGATAATTTAGATTAGGTGTCTTATTTATTTACTTAATTAGCCAACTATCTGCAGATCTTTCTCAAGATAAAAAAACCAAACAGCTATAAGCAATGTAATTTCCATGAGTAATACCGTATCAACAGAACAACAGCTCACCAGGAGTTTGTGTCACCTAGATTTGTCTTACCTGAATGCTGTCTTATTTATTTCAATGCCTTTAAAGCATTTATTCATAAACCAAATCCCAAGTGTATGCAAGTGTTCTCCACTGTAACCACTGAATCTATGTCAAAGTATTATACAATTTGTGCCTGAAAAAATGAAATCCTCCAAAATTTTAAACAAAGCAGATCTGCCCCATAGTATAACCCAGTGTTCTCAACCTTTTTAGACTTGAGACACCTCTCATTAAACTGAAGACACCCATCAGAAAGTGCTAGCTCTTATTTTTCACTCATTTTTTACTGCAGAGAAATAAGAGAGCAATTCTTCTGCTGCAGACAACTCAGAAAGACCCTCAGTAGGTCAGAATATTTTTCACACTACAGGTTTATCCTGCAATCTCTGGTTTTATCATGCGAATCACATGTAGGTGACAGCACACCTATAGTACAAATATTATGTAGCACTCTTAAAAGGATCTCAGGGTACCTAAGGGTGCTATTACACCCTGGCTGATAATCACTGATCTAGCCCCTTTACTTGCCAGGTAAACTGAATCCACAACTTTAGTTTCAAGAACTGCAGATCTAAAGAATCTGTCATCCCTACAAAGAAGTTTATAAATGTACAAAATACACCCATGACTTTGGATTGATCTTTTAATGTAATGAAGGATTTTTGAGTTATTAGACTTTGTCCACTAGCCTGCATAAGTCTCAGCATGTTTTAAAAAATATAGATCAAATTTTAGTGTGCAGTATTAATATCTAATTGATTCTTGCAGAACCAGTGCCCACCACTGTCTGAATTTACATAATATTTCTATTAAAATATGTAAATGTGCATGTAGTAAATTGCAGGAGACCCTAAGCTGGATGGGGTAAGCAGACACTTATGAGGACAGGATCAATGTTCAAAATAACCTTGATAAATTAGAAAAACAGTCCAAGATGAACTGAATTAAGTTCAGTAAGGACAAAGTGCAAAGTACTATACTTACGATGGAACAATCAAATCCACGATGAGCTATGACTAGTTATAGACTACAAGCTGAATGAGTCAACAGCATAATATCATTGCAAAAAATCTAATCATTTAGGAGGATGACAGGCAAGTCATCAGAAGCGATTTTTCCACTCTACTTAGCATTAGGAAGGCCTCACTTGGAGTGCTCTGTCCTGTCTTGGACACTGCACTTCAAAGACATGAACAAACTGGAAAGAGTCCAGAGGAACACAATAAAAATTATTAGAAATCTAGAAAATATGACATGAGAAAAAGTTGGAAAACCTGGGACTATTTGGTCCAGACAAGAGAAGAAGAAGGGGGGATTTGATTACAGTCCAGAAATACAAAAAAGATTTGTATCACAGGAAACAGCAAGCAGTTTTTCTTTGCAGATAGGGGACACTGCTTATTGATACTGCAACAAGTTTTAGGTTACATATGGAGAACTTTAATTATGAGGGTGATTAAACACTGGAAAAGATTACATCAAGTGGGTCAGAAATATCTATCACAGACATTTTTTAAGTGCAAGATGGGCTATGGACAGATAGTATGTTTACAGTGCTATATACATACACACTTGCGCACAGTTCGCAGGGTGTGCCCCCGACACAGTCCTTTGAGTTGCTTCACCTTCAGCACAGTCATCCTGGGCATGCTTCCCCCTCCCGTACCAGCGTGCTGGCCCTCAGCACCAAGCACCGGGGCCCTGGCCCTATCTCTAGGGTAACCCCTGGGCTTACAAACCTGCCATCAGCTACCCTCTATTTTATGGAATGCAACACATGCCAGCACAGTCTTCAGGGCACCCCTAGTAGCCTCCTTTACTAGACACCACGTGCCTCACAGCTGGCATTTCAGTGTTTAGCTGACCTGGGGTTTGCCCTTATCAGAGAATCATAGAAAGGGTTGGAAGGGACCTCAGGAAGTCATCTAGTCCAGCTCCCTGCTCAAAGCAGGACCATCCCCAACCAGATAATCCCAGCCCTTCCCTTGGCTCTCTCCCATTTAACTATGGCCTGGGGCTGCCCTTTTCCAGGGCCCTTCCCACTTCTGTACCTCTCTCTATGCCAAGGTTTGCCTTTCCCTAGCTTCCCTCCATTCCACCCAGCTTCCTCCCTGCTGGGTGTCACCAGCCCTGCAGACTCAGTCCCATCTGAGCACATTTACAGGGTCACCCCTAAATCCCATCCCTCCTGGTCACATGACTCTAGCTTTCAATTGGGTCTAGTGATTTCTCATTAGCTCTACCACCGCCACCACTTAAATAGGGTGCAGAACTCCAGGCATCTATCCAGCACCCTATCCTATTCCTGCTTGCTCCACGTAAGTGACCGGCAGCTTGTTACTGCCTTGGAGCTATGGTTCCTAACTCTCTTCTGCTGCCTACCTCTTCGCAGCTGGCTTCAATTCAGCTGCCAGCAATCTTACAGTCAAATAATGTTCCCTCTTAAAGTAACAAGGAGAAAGATCCCCTGTTACACCTTGTCGCACTACAAAAATTAGGTGTACAAACATGCACCCTGCTTGGAATATTATAAAAATGGTGTAAGCTCTACACAATTTTTCCTGTTTGAAACAGGAATTGTTCTGTAGAGCCACATGTAAACATGCAGGACTAGAGAGAGTGCCTGGATCCCCAAAATCCCACGATGCTTCACTCCTTTCCCCGTCCCTGCAGCCTCTAAGGGGGAGGAAGAGAGATCATTGGTTCCTTGACAGACAGCCAGGAAGCACAGCTGCAACCCAGTCAGGACTGGGGGGGGTGCAGCTCTACTGCCATGGTAGTGGCAGGGATCACTGCTTCTGCCATGCTGGTGGCAAGTGGTCAGAGCTGCTGCCCTGTCACCCTAGGAGGTGACAAAGAGAACTGCTGCTACCCAAGTCCCTGGCACAGCTACAAAAGTATTAACTGCAAAGTATATATATTTTTGTATATACATATGAAAATGCTGGCTGTCTATGCATCAATGACAGCCAGCATGGTCTCCGTACCCTGATAGCTGTCAGTGATCAGGCTCAATGACAGGCTCCCCTGGAGAGGACAAGGAAGGAAGCAAAGGAGTAGTCTCTTACTACTACCTAGCTGAAGAGAGCACCTTTACAGTCACTGTATATATGAAGTGTATACAAACCCTTCAGAGTGCTGTATTTCTGTAGTGCTGCTAAGTGCTCTGGCACTTGTCACACTGCACATGTGCATCTCCCCACAACCCTAGACAAACATTTGGTTCATCTAAAACAGGAGTAGGCAACGTTTTTGGTTGGAATGCCAAAAAAACTGAAATGTTTACCTTGTAAGGTGCCGGAGTGCCGGCATACCAGAAAAACAAAACTGGTGTGGGGGGTACACTGCAGGACACACTGCATATTAATATAGTTAATGATCATAAATATTGGGTTGGGATTTTTTTTTTTAACAGTAAATACCAGGTTTTCTAAAAATTCTAAATGTGATAATAATAAATAAAACTTCATATACTACCTTTGTTGTTTTGTTGGGTTTTTTTGTTAAGGAAGTTGTGATGAGAGAAAAAGAAAAGAGAGGAGAGAAGAGAGAGAGAGAGAGAGGAGGGAAAGAAATAAGAAAGAGAGAGAGAAGAGAGGGAAGAAAGAAGAAGGAAGAGTGGAGGGAAGAGAGGAAAAAACTAAAAGAAAAAGAGGGGAAAGGGAA